TTCCCTTATCAATTCTGTAGGATATGGCTATATCGACTTTTTTACAATACTTTTTTTTCGATGTAATGACCCCTTTTTCATACTTTCCAGGTTCTTTCAAATTCTTTATAATAACAGTGGTAGAGCCATTCCTAGAATATCGACGATAAGTTATTGGATTTTGATTATTGATAATAATAGTATTCTTTATTTCATCTGTTATTTTTGAAATATCACTCGATTGTCTGTTTTCAAGAGAAAACTAATCAAAAATTTGATCATCAGATATTTCTCTATAATTAATTGAAGATTCGAAAAAATGGCTTTTACATTCATATGAACAATAGATTGGATGCTCAGGCCTATATTATTTGATATTGTGTAAAATTATTTTCAAAAAGAGTGCTAGTAAATGCATTATTGTTAAATATTTACCCATATAATATGACATAACTTAGTAACACTCCAAGAAGTTTGTTTAAAGATGATATGATGAACAAGTGAATATAATCTTTCTCATTGAGGTCTTCATCTTTTTTCCATGCAACTATCCTAAATTTAGATCAAGGTTTAAGTAACTTTTAAATGGAAATATATATATATTTAATTAACTTACCAAGACTGTAAAATTTCATTAATTGATAATTTAGTTTTGTCGCTAAATTCACTCTCTAATGTTAAATCAATGCACGGTAAACAGTCAATTGAAATATCTGGATCTGAAAAAGTTTTAATAAAAACATTTTGAGAGTTGAATTTTTCAAAAGATTGTTGTATCACATCATTAATTTTATAGATGTTGTAAAGCGTGATTGATTTGGAACGATCTGCAAGTTTAATCCAGAAAAAATTTGTTCCAAGTACACACTGCCACAAATGATAGTCATGAAAAAGATCAATTGTCAAGCAATAAAAAGGATCTAAAATATCTTGTTGGATAAAATCCTTTTTGAAGCCATTTAAGGATGTTGAATTGAAGAGAAGACAAACTTTCTAAAATATAGAATAAATAATTAACAACTAGAATAAATTCAAACCTAGTAATTTGTTTTTTTTTATTGTTATTTCATTCCATTTTTCAAAGATCAGTTGCTTTTGATTTTTTTGTGTCCTTTTGATAATAATTTCTCGTTGTTCCTTTATCATATTATTAACATATTTCTCAAAATCTTCAAGTTGCCCTAAGTCATCGCATGTTGTAAGTTCCCAGTAAAGTCGGCCAGATGCAAAATTCATGAGATTTGGAAC